CTATAATGACCAATTATATTATTATATTATTATTTTCTCTAATAATGGCTACTAACTGATAACTTACGACTTTCTATACATAAGCGGATCTGGAATATGAGGTAAGGAGGTTTCACTTCTTTTTAGGTCGGGATAAGGCCAACTCCATTTCCTGGGTGAGCTTCTTTTTGTTTCTTTTGTTTTTATTTGTTTCAATTTATACAAGCGCCTTAAAAGTTCCTATCGTCTGAACTGTTCCAACTTCCAAAACATTTATAGTTTACAAGTCGAGTTCAAACAACGAAAAAAAAGAAACAGAAAGAAACTCACCTAGGAACCGAAACCTCAATTCTTTCATGCACCAAGGTCGCCGCTGCTGTCGCGAAGTATGAACGCTGCCTTATCATTGAAGTCGAGAAGGGCGTCTCTGATGGGCGTGGTTTTCGGCGCGGCGTTTCCCATCGCCCACTGAACGCCGGCAGAGCGTTTCAATGGAAAAAGGGATGGTGCCTAACCAGACGTGCTCTCGCTGCGAGGGTCCAGGGTATTTTCACGAGGCATCTACCAGTCCAGTAGTTGAAGGGAGAAGGTAAAGGAGGAGGGATCAGAGAAGGAAGGAAGGAAAAGAAGGAAGGAGGAAGAAAAAAGGAAAGAGAAGCGAGGCCTCGACAAATACGCTGAGACTGGTAACGCTGTGAATTCTACACCCCACGATAAGTCCTGACCAACTACAGTACGCCCTGTTTGATATGTGCTGTGTATCCGTAGAGAAATAAAACCAAGGCAACCGTCGAAAATGCCCTGAATAAGGACTTCATCATTTCGAGCAGGCAACGGAGGAAGGTCGGGCAGGGTTTTGGACGGGGATCCAGACAGGTGCGATGAAACGAGCGAGACGACAGACACCATTGCGAGCAGAATCATGTCGCGCACATGAGCAGCCACTTGATCAGTCCTGCTCCTTGAAGCCCTATGCTAGATTATTTATGTGTTTCTAAACGAATCTGGTACAAGATTTTCCTTTCGATTATTGTAAAAGCTTGAATCAGGACTATCCAACAGTGATTACACCCAGCCCTGGCCAGATAATTGGTCCAGCTTTTCAACAGGAAGTCCGGAAGTTCAAATAAAATTATCCCTCGAAATTCAGAGCGTCAACAAGCCGAGACCGAATGGAGCACAAGCGCCGGTTTCGCCTCCGGTGGACACTATTCGGTGAGTTCCACATTGATTCATCTGAGGACACGCATTTCACAGAGGGCAGATTGGCATAGCACATAAGCTAGAGTCTTGTTCGCTGTGGACGCTGAGCTATTTCAGTTGCAGGCTAAGTTTGTGCAGATCACGTCAGCATTGATTTCACCCAATTGTTGATCGCCTGCGAGCTTTCACAATAGGTGGAGAACAAACAAGTTGGCGTCGCGTCAAACCCAGCCCCTCCTGTGACACGCCCAAGCGTAGCTGAGAAGACTACATAATCTCGTCATCCGGGCAGTTGATTAGGGCGGTCGTCAACGGGCCGCAGCGCGTGCCAGGAACTATTTGCTTTTCCAGGCTAATTTAGTCATTTTTTCCACCTTGTGAAGATAAGGAGCTGCTAATCTGGGAAAAAGTAGCCAAAACAGTGAAAAGTTGGAAAAAATGACTAAATTAGCCTGGAAAAAGCAAATAGTTCCTGGCACGCGCTGCGGCCCGTTGACGACCGCCCTAATCAACTGCCCGGATGACGAGGGTACGTATTCCTACATCTGTTTCTCGGATCCCTCACTTTTTCGACTCAGCTTCCGAATCATAATGTTTTGGAAGTTTTTTTCAGCGAATCGTTGTACGAAATGGCATGAAAACGGATGTGACGTCAAGAAGCGTTGGTACACAGTCGTGCTTAGACCTCTCTGACCGTAATCCTCCGCGACCGTTCACACTTCACACCCAGTCGTCGTTAGACGTCAGCAAGCCTATGAAGGAAAACAAAGCAGCTGAATCCTTCAAAAGAGCGGAAACGACACCTCGAGATGATGCCGACGATGGAGTGACCTCAAAAAAGTCTCCAACTTCAACAAAACCTAAACCGGCTACAGTGAATAAAGACAAACAACGAGACACTACCGCGCCAACAGCAGAGTCCTCAAGTGACACCAATCATGCTCCGAAGCTATCCAGCATTCTGCCATCGCTGTCGGAGAACTCGTTCTCGGATGGCGACATGACACCTCCACTATCTATCGTCGACGACTACAATACAGACCAACAAAGGTCCTCACCGAAAACCACAGAGACAGAGTCTCAGTCTCAGTCTACTGCGCCACCTCTTTCACAAGCAGACACGGCAGCCAAGACGAAGACCTCTCAACCGAAGAAAAAGCAAAGAGACTACGACAGCAAAATCCACTCGCTTTCCAAGGAGGTAATTCCGGTTTTCTTTTGTGAAAACAGTTTCGATGGTTATACTCGTAGCGTATGTTACCGGTAATGCGGGGAAAGTGAAAGCTCATGTTGAAGTTATAGTGCAATGGAGCCGTTGAGCTTGGGTGGAAAAGTGGGGGGGGGTCACATTTTGTACTTTCACATGTTCCTTTTGCAATTTCCCTTTGAGCGGATACCGCGCACGGAGCACCGTCGCCCTGCCCCTCGTAACCGCCAGCTCGCATCTGCTAATTTAAACCCGAACAGGGCGGGGATTGTATAAAATTGATGTGGAACCGTATTGTCTAAATGCAGGGGAAAAGATTGTGTATTCCCGGTTTCAGCTAACCTCGCTGTTGTCGTCATGTGAGGACCAACAAAAAATCAAAATAGCTTGTGGCCTTCAGAGGTGAGCCAGTTGTCCAGAGCTTTGCTGCCCATGAAAAAGTGACTAGGCGTATTTCAGAATAATCAGCGAACAGAAAGACGTGCAGCAGGTAATGCAAATGGTCAGCCGAATAGAAACCGAAGTGAGTGGGAGGTCCGAACACGACAAGGACAAAATGGCCAGTGTATTGAGAGACTATGCGAAGAAATGTGATGAGAAGCTCAACGCCACTAATGACACTCTGCTTACTGTTCGCGCTGAACTGTCCCGTATCGGAGACCAGTGCCATTCTTTGCGCCAAACATCACTGAGG